TAAAGGGAGAGCTGGAAGATTACTATGTCCAAACAAGGAATTTTACAGGGGAAACAGAGGTCATAGTACTTTGCAGCACACTTACTTCTCCTTCCCCTCAGAATAAAATCCCACCTCTTCCCAGGCCCCTATGTCAGCTGGCCCTGTGCTCACTGCCATGTCAGGACTGTGGTACTTACTGTCTCTTCTGCCCAGAAGGCTTGTCCTCAGGCTGAATCCTTTGTTAATATATTCAAATCTACCTGTTCACAAGCCTCCAACTCCTGTCCTGGCTAGAGGTCTCCCTGGTCACAGTGCCACACTGTGAGGTTACTTTTCTTCATCATTAGTGGTTGAAATCTTGTTCACTTAGCTAGCCTGTCCCTCCCACCTCGACTTGCTTACTATGGCATCCAGGGTGTGACCACAGGCTTCCGAGTAGCCATGACTGACAGCTCCAATGGGGAACCTGAGCCCTTGCATAGAACCTCCTGCCACAGGTCCCATCTGCCCCCAAGCTGCAATCTCCTAGCTCTCAGTATCACCTGAAGAAGAGCAAAAGTTTCCGGGTCCTGATGACCCCTGCACTACTAGTAAGAAGGTCAGTTAGTCTCTAGATGTGTGCAAAAGGTGGATAACCTTTCATAACCCTTGACATGTAGAAATATACTGACCCAAGAATCCTTGGACCTTTGTCCTTTTTGGAAGGTCCCAAGGCAGGGTGGACCACAATGTGGGGCTGAAGGTGCTCGGTTCTCAGGAACATTCTAGAGATTGGAACCAAATTCCAAAGGACAGTCCTGAGTCACTGACTGAGGGTGCCTGCTTCTGTGGTGAGAAGGATGCCCCCAAACAACACTTGCTTTCCATTTAAGATCAGAGCATGCACTGTGCCTCTGGCTGCACACAAAATCAAAGTGGACCTCTGTGTGTGGAATGGAACCTCTCTGGAGGGACATGTAAGAGAAAAACTAGTGATAGCAGCTGGGCTAGGGGACAGAGAGCCTGAGAGAGATGCCTCCTCCCCAATGCCTTTGCCTACTGCTCCACCCCACAGTACCTAGTCCTTATTAGGGGTCCACTGAATATTTGTGAAATACATTAATATACAGTCATCCCTCAGTATCACAGGGAATTGGTTCCAGGACCCCCATGGATACCAAAATCCAAGAATGCTCAAGTTCCTTAAATGAAATGAAGTAGTATTTATATACAATCTATATATATCCTTCCATCCATATACTTTAAATCATGCACATTCTCCGGTATACTTTGAATCATTTCTAGATTACTTATAATACCTAATACAATGTAAATGCTATGTAAATAGTTGTTGTACTGTATTGTTTAAGGAATAATGACAAGAAAACACTATGTACAAGTTTAGTACAGACATAGTATATGTCAGCAACAATGTATTTCTTTCTTTATTTATTTATTTATTTATTTACTTTTTAGAGAGAAGGGAAGGAGAAAGAAAGGGAGAGAAACATCAGTGTGCTAGAGATACATTGATCCATTGCCTCTGACATGCCCCCAACTAGGAACCTGGCTCACAACCCAGGCATGAGCCCTGACTGGGAATCAAACCAGTGGCCTTTTGGTTCTCAGGCTGAAACTCAATTCACTTAGGCATGCCAGCCAGGGCAACAATGTAACTTTAAAAGAAAATATTTTTAATTTGCAATTGGTTGAACCTGAGGATATGGAACTCTCAGATACCAACTAGAGCAATGAGTGAGTAAACCCCCAAATAACAAATAAAATAGAGGCACTAGGTATTTTCTTTCATTCCAGGCCACCCTCTCAGTTCTCACCCTACCACCCACCCACTGCCAACCTCATGCCTGCCCATGGGGGAGGAAGAGGGAAAAATCTGTGTTAACCAAACAAAATTCTATAGTTTCTATGTATCTGGGAGAAAGTATTTCTCTCCCAACTGTCTTACCTATACTTCTGTAGCAATCCAGGAGAAAATTCTCATAAAGAAGACCAGAGCTTTGGTGAGCAGATGGGTCAAAGCCTGAACAGCAGTAGGAAGGACAAGCCTGGCCCAGTATGGGTGCAGGCAAATGCAGGGAGCCTGGAGCCCTCAATGTAGAAACACTGACTTTTTAATCATCTTTTCCCTGGGAGAATGAAGGCCATTTCCTGCCAAAGGATGCAGATTTCAGTAGATCAGCAATTCACATATATGAACCTCAAAGTATTTGGCAAACCCTAATGAATTATGTAGTCCAAGAATCTTAGGAAGCAATGATGGAGGGGGCACTTTGCTGTGTGCACTTAAACTGCCACTGTCATTCAGTAAAACTGAGAGCTTTAACTTTTGTGCTTAGTATCCTTTTCACTGGTATTAACCAGCTGTCATTTTTTATTGCCAGTGGGCATTCTTCCTTGTCTAAGACTACAATACTAACAGGAGGTCTCTGCAAGCTGGCACCCATCAGGCCCTCATTTTTCTACCATCAAAGCCCTGCCTTCTTTGCCGCCTATGTAGTCACCTGGTTTGCTCTCATTTCCCTATTTGGTTGTGAATGTCACTTAGCCAGTTTGCCCACATGATTTCTCAGGCCCATGAAGGGACACACCTTGATGCAGAGAGATGCAATCACTGCTACCACTGTGGAAAGGAAAGCTCATCCTTGGTATGGGTCATGTTTTTTTATGTCAGAAGCTTTGCTCATGTTATCCATTTTGGTGGGGCATTTCACCCTCTCTGACAATTGCCCATTTGCCTTGGATTCTTTGAGGAAACAATTACCCAGCAAATGGGACCGTTGCTTATGCTTAGGATTCTAGACTTCATGCACATACCTTAATCCATCTCTGCCTCCAGGCAATGCCTTTTTCTAGAGAATCAGAGAAATTCTGTGCATTCCTAAAATAAAAAGAAAAGATGTCATTATACATCCTGACATTTCCAGGGATCAGTCTGGAAATTATACAGGATAGCTCTGAAATAACCTCGATTTATTTGCAAGCTTCCTTTGACAAAGTCAATTTAAGTAGTCTTGATCTGGGTTAGGGCCCCCACTTGCACTTTTCTCTTGAGTTTGGACACTATTAGACCTGTATCCAGAATCTCCCCACAGCTTGCCTAAGAGAAAGACAAGGTGCAGGGAGTTTTAGTTTCTCAACAAGGCTCTGCTTTGCACATGGAATAAAGGGCACGGGCTCCCCTTCTCCCCTTTCCTGCACATAGGACCAAAGTGAGATTAAGGCAATGCAAGTTTAGGATACAGTCATAAAGTAGCAGTGGGATACGAACAAGTCACATTGCCCTCTGGGCCTCTCAATTTCTCATGTATAAAATGAAGGGGTTAGAAAATGAGCTGCTCTTTGATCCCAGTTCAATTCAATAATTATAAAAGCACTGAGGGATTACTTAAATGAATAAAGCTGTATTCCTGCTCTCAGAATGCATTCTGGTTGGTGACTGGAATGAAATGAAAAGCTCCTCAGGCCTTCTGTGCACCGGGCATGGTGAATGGCAATTTGACCTATCTTCATTGCAACCTTTAGAGATTAGTGTTCTCATTTCTGATATTGTTGAGCTATAGAGTGGCAGGTGTGGGTTTGACCCGTTTTGCTAGCCACCACTTTGCTAGTTAAGTGTTTATTGTCCACCCAGACTATCTCAGACTCTTGCAGAATGTGGTATACACCAGAGGTGCAAACAAGGTGCTCTGGGAACACATTGCCTTCATGTTTCTAGTGGCTTCATTCCCTAACCAAGGACTCTTGGCCCAGGTTCAGATCACTCAGGGAGTCAGGCCCTATAATACTCCCTGCCAACCTCACATCCCTGAGAATCTCAGATTTTACTCTTTACTGTTCTTATAGGAATATCAGCCCACTTGTAACAGTATCAATAATTCTTTCCACCCTAGTACATTGCTTTGTGTTTTACAAAGCACTTTCACATCAGTTATCTCATTTAATCACTTCCTCCTCTACATGCCTACATTTTCTTGGTATTTCTTTAGTGTAACATTCTGCTTTGCCTAACAGACCTGTTTTCCTTCATCTTGGCTCACAAGTTCTGTCTTATAATTCAGGTACCTCAGCAGCTTGCACAGTTCCGTGCACAAAGGTGGGGGGGGGTGATAAGAGTTTGGCATGTTAAATCCTCACAGTATTGCGGGTCTTTTTCATTGCAACCTTCTTCACCCCTTTGAATCAATGGACATTTGGTTCCCTACTAAGGGCAAAGCTGGGTTCTTTTGGGAAAAATCAGACAAGGAGTTCAGATTAAGTGGGGGAAGGCAGAGGAGAAGGCTTCTAACACCTGGTAGGATATGGTACCTACTACCAGAGGAGTTTGAGTGACTGATTAGTTTTGTCTGGGGGTGGGTGGAAAGCAAAAATGCTTCTTGGAAGGGCCCCACCCAGTAGAGATGGAAATGGAGACAGAACAGAATCAGAAGGGACCACAGATCTGACCATTGGGAAAGAGTAGGCAGTTACACAGAAAAATTCCCCTCAAAAAAGGGGAAAAGGGCTAAATGCATAGCTTTTCCAAATAGAAGTATAACACCCCACAATTTTCTAGGGAAGAGGAATTGAAAGGTCACAATTTGTAAGAAAAACGGTACCTTTCCTGAAACACTCTGATACTGCTTAGAGAAACAGCTCAGGGAGGACAACTTCCTGGTTTCCTTAGTAAAAGGAGTGAGGTGAGGGTCATGGATTTCCTGCAATTCCTCTCTGTTTAGGAGTGGTGTTTGAGGTTCATAATTTCTCCTCTGGTTAGGGGAGGGACACGCAAAGTCGGAATTTCCCGTTATCTTCAGATAGGAAAGCCAGGGGCACAAAGCCCCAATTGCTCTTCAGATAAGGAAGAGAGCCAGAAGTCCCCAGTAAGGCTCAGAAGAGGCAGGGTAATTTGGGGCATGCGCCCCAAATACTGCTCAGGAAAGGCAATGATTTTGGGGCTTTGAATTCTCCAAATTCTTTTTAGTAGTAAAGGGAGCAAGAAACCGAGCCCTCTCAAGTTTTCTAAGAAAAGAAAGCTGGGGTTCCGAATCTGCAAAATCAGCTTTATTTTGGCAATTCTCCTAAGCGTGCAGGGCAGGAACTTCCACGATTCTCTTCAGCAGAGGGGCCAGGAAGCAAGATCTCCGAAGATTCTCCTCAGAACAGGAGCCAGAGGCAAGAATCCTCAAGACTCTCCTCAGAAGAGGGTCGGACCCGCAACACTAGTCTAAGACGAGCACAGAGGCAATGAATTCCCTGGAGAACAAGGGGGGGGGCCACAGCTCGCTCACAACACGGCTCCACAGAGCGCGCCTTACGAGACCCCGCCCACCACCCGGCGTACCCGCTCCACGCCCTCGCGGCCCAAGCTGCCTCCGGTGCATTGTGGGTGGGGCGCCCCTGCTGAGCACTGCGGGGAACCCCCTGCCCAGCCAGTTGTCCGTCGTTCGGCAGCCCAGTCGAACCGCCTTCCAGGGTCCGAGCTCCCCGGCCAAGGATTGACGCGTCTCCAGGCCCCGCCCTTCGCGGTGTTCCCGCCCCTAAGCCTAAAGCCCGCCCCCTGAAGACCTTGACTGGCCCTGAGGCCCGCTCCACTCTACCATTGGCAGGCGAACTGTCAGTCACTCTGTTTCACCTCCTCAGACCCTCCCAGGCCGCCGGCGCAATCCTGAGGGCGAGCCGGCAGAAGCGCTTATTGGCCCCTGGGCGCTGTCCGTCATTATGATGAACACGCCCACTGTGGGGCGTGCATCCCAGAGGCCCCGCCCGGACCTCATTGGCCTGGGGCGCCGCCACTCGGCAGGACGCGCCTCAACCCGGAAGTGTGTGAGGCGAAATCTGCCTAGCAACCGGAGAAGCCGGGCTGGGAAGCGGGCAATTTCAGTGTGAGACTAAGCTGCGAGACCGAGCCGTGGCTCCGAGTGCGGCGCGGCGGCTCCTCCCGCCCGAGGTCAGCGCCCCGGCGCGCGCACGCGCACCCCCGTCGCCCGAGCGCGCCTCGCGCCGCCCGCACTGTCTGTCGGTCCGCCGTCCCTCGTCCCGTCGCCGCCGCCACTGCGGGCGCCACCTGAGGGAACTGCCGCCGCGGGATCTGAGCGGACCGGACCTGACACCGCCGTCCGAGGCCGTCCGGGACCCAGCAGCTGCTCACGGAGGCGCTGAGCAACTTCGGTGAGTGAGGGGCCAGAGCCGCTGGAGGTGGGTCCCCGGCTTCCGGTGCCCCGGGCTTTTCTGGGGCTTCCGCTTCTCCGAGGTGACCGCTTCCAGTGCGTGGACCCCCTTGTCTGCGGGGACCCGCTTCTGTGAGTGAGGCCCCCATCTTTGAGGGGAACCCCCGCTTCTCTGAGAGACCCCCTTTTTCTGAGGAACACCTCAGTGAGAGATTCCACTGTGGTCTCCCACCTCTGGCCGCTCCCTTCTCTGATGGACTCTTCACTTTTCTGAGGGACTTCGTCTCTCTGAGGGCCACTCCTACTTTTCAGGGACCCCTGTCACCTTAGGGATCCTCCACTTCCCGGAGGCTTCTCTCAGGAGATAATCCTGCTTCTAGGGGACGCTCCCCCTCACTTCTCTGGGGGGCCTCCTCTCTCTGAGGAGACCTCCCCGCTTCTCCAGGGATCCCCCAGTCACATTATCTGAGGAGATTCCAGCTTCTCTGAGCTGTTGTCCCACTTTCCTGATGTGTTCCATTTTCGTCCTTGCTTTTCTAAGGTGTTTCCCACTTTTCATAGGTTCCCTTTCTCCCTACTTTTCTGAGATGTACTTCCTACTTTTCTGTCCCCACTTGTTTGGGTGACCTCCCCCTTCTACCGAGTATCTTTCAATTAATCAGAGGTGTTCCTGCTTCTGTCAGAATCCTTCTTGGAGGTGCTTCCTACTTTTCTGAGCTGTCCCACTTTTTTTTGGATCCCCTGCTTTTTGATGATTGCCTCCACTCACCTGAGAGATCCCAGTTAATTCCGAAGTGCCCATACATTTGACGGGACCTTCAGTTTTTCTGAGAAAAAATTGCTTACTTTTCTGAAATATTTTTCATTTCTTTTGGGTTCCCCACTAGTCTATGGATAATGCATAGAGGAGTCCATAGCTTCTCTCCCTAATATGAGATGTCTCACTCCTACAGGTTCCTCACATCTCTGAAGTATGCACTTTTCTAAGATATCCCCTCTGTTGATGGGAGACATGGTGGATTGCACCACTTCTCTGAGGGGTCCCCTTGCATTTTGAGGGGTTTCTCTTCTTCTTGCCTGAGGACATGTACTTTTTCCTGAGGTTTTCCTCCTGATTCTCTTTTTGAATTTTTGTATTATTTTGATTTTTGATTTACTGTTCCCCTCTTGATTTTCTCGGAGAGAAAAATTTTCCTCATTTCTCCTTGGAACTTCAAGATTCCTTTGTTTCTGTGTGGCACCAACTTCCCTTAATTCTGGAAGGAAAAATGTGCTTTCCCTTCAGTCTTTCCCGCCAGATTAGTGGGTCTTCTTTTCAACTTTTACCTCAGCTTCCAAGGACCTCAGAAATTTTGTGGCTAGAAGGGATATTGGGAGACGGGGGGAAAAAACCTAGCCCCCCCAAACCAAAACAAAATACTGTTTTCTCTTGTCCTTTAAGATTTGCTAGATTTGGGGGAGCAGGAGCTACTTTGGTCAGATGACCACTTTGGTTACTCTGTTTTTGAGCCTTGGGGCCCCTACTGTGTTGTCAGGCCAATACAGAGGCAGGAGGGACAGGGCTGGAACGTTGGGTTGTTCGTTGTTTGCCCATTATCACACTGTCAAGCCGTGGCACTGATCCACTTCCTGTCCCATGCCTTACTCCTCCCTGTGCATAGTGTAACTCACCCCCCTTAAAAAAAAACGGGGGGAGAAGAAAATTGCTCCTTCATATCTTTCTGTTGCATTTTTTTCTCCCTGGGCCCTCTGATTTACCCCTTGATTACTAGAGGCTCCTTAGTTTGTGGGCCACTCTGATTTGAAAGGCAAGGCAAGAAGCAGGAAATGGGTCACCTTAGATCCAGGAAGGGTGGAAGGAAGGAAGGGAGGCAAGGGACAGGGGTTTTGACTTCATTTCTCCAACTTTTAGGTGACTTCAACCTGGTCAAAAGGAGTTTTTACATGGCTTTTATGAATCTTATGGGTACCTTTTTTAATGCCCACCCTAGATTCCAAGTTCACTCCAGGAGCTAATTTTATCTGCTTTGCCAAACACAGAGCTCTCTGGAGCCCAAGTAGATGAATGCTGGCATTGAGAGATGGTCCAAAGGACAGGAATGAACTCAGTTTGAAATTTGAGTAACTTGTAACCACTTTGTGTCCATGCAGAAGTTTCAGACTAAAAACATAGAACGTTCCTGAAGTGGAGTTTTGAAATATAGGCTGAACTCCTGTTTGGTTTAGTATTTCAGTGAGTTCTTCCTCTGACTCTGCTAGAACTGCAGGTCACTTTACAGTTTGACTTAAGCCTGTTTCTCTCCTGTTCGTTTCCATCTGGGTCTTACTTAATTTGAGTCCTTTGTGAAGACTCCTGCCGAAGCTATAATTTGAGTTCTAAATCTGTCGGTGGACCATGTGGACACAAGTTTCAACTCGAGCCATTTTCTTCTGTAGAGAAGTGCTTGGAGAGTTTCCTGGGCCCTCTGCTCCTGGGGTAGTCAAGTCCAGGCAAGAAACTGCTACAAGACCTGGTTGCTCTTATACTGCCTCTTCCTGGTCAGCTGTAGGCACTGCCCTGAAAGGGGAGAGGAAGGATGATGGGAATTCAGGGTTTGGGGTGTCCTGAGGCAGGGCAGGAAAGTGCTGGCATATATTTATTATTTTAAGTGAAACCCACAGGACCAGCAAGGTAGGATGTTAGAAAGGGAGAAGAGAGCTTTGAAGTCAGAAGGAACTGATTGAGATCTTGGCCTTGGACAAGTTATGGCATAAAATTGGCATGTTACTAAATATTCAAGGGGTCACATCTCTGTGAAGGTGTGTAAAGATGCCTACAGATGGCAAGTGCTTCCTAGACATATGAATGGTGTAAATGAATCTGAGACAATGAGTGGGTGGCAGACAGCACAGTGCCTAGCACATGGTTGGTGTGCAATAAAGGTGGGTTGTTGTGCTTAGGAGATTAGGGTTCTGTCCTACACTCTCAGGCCAGGAAGTACTTGACAATCTGCCAAGGCTAAATATGTCCAAAGAGAAAGAAAGTTGGTATATCTCTTGTAAAACCCACTGGCCTCCTGAGTCTCATAGGAATTTTGTGTTCAGGTAGCAGATGTGAGGTGGATTTGCTGTGTGGGAGACATTTGTGTTTGCCTTGCCTTCTACCTGTGTAAGATGGGGTAATTTGCTCTGAAGTTAAAGTGAGTTAAAAGGCAAGTAGGGAGATGTATTGCTGTAATTAGACTGTAGGCAAGATAGAAGATTATAATGAACTTAGAAGAATTGTGGGAAGGAAATAGTAAGAGAACCATAAACCTGTAGGATCAAATCCATATTTTGGGACTGGTCGAGTGAGTGATGGGTAGTAGTTACCTGGTGAGCAGTCTCTTATACATTAGAATCTTGAAATAAAAACTGTTCTTTTAGGGTAATGGATCAGATTTTGGGACAAAAGCCTGGGAAAGCATTTGACGCGACACAATAATAGTACATTGAGAGGGCCAGTGTGTGGCTTAGTGCCCATGAGGAGATCGGAATTCACCTTGAGCTCCCAGGATAGAGAGAGCTGTGGAAATGCTAACTCTGCCTCTGGGGATGGGGGTGAGAACTGGGGTGGGCAGGACAGCTTCTTTTTTGAGAGGATTCTTTCTTAGCAGTTAGTGGAAGCCCTAAAATCATGGCTGTTGGGCCCAGCCCTTTCCACAGATGGCACTTACCCCTGATAGCTAAAACCCAGGGCGAAATAATGGATGAAAATGTGAGTAAGGCTCCCGCTGGCCTGCTCCTAAGTTTGAAGAAAAGAGTTTTTCCCCCACTTGAATTATCCCCACTCCCGCCCTTCTTCTCCCTCTCTCTCTCTCTCTCTCTCTCTCTCTCTCTCTCACACACACACACACACACACACACACACACAATGACATTACTGTTACTATTGAGGCCAAGAAATATCCACCAATCTTAAATTATTTTAATTCTTAATTCTTCTCTTAATTCTTTTTTTTTTAAAGATTTTAATTTATTTTAGAGAGGGGGGAAGAGAAGGAGAAAGAGAGGGAGAAAACTGTCAATGTGTGGTTGCCTCTCATTCACCACCTACTGGGGACCTGGCCTGCAACCCAGGCATGTACCCTGACTGGGAATCAAACTGGCTACCCTTTGGTTCACAGCCCATGCTCAGTCCACTGAGCTATACCAGCCAGGGCTCTCTTAATACTTTTAAGGATAGTTATTCCATCATATGAGAAAGGGGCAAAGTTTATTACTTTTAATATATAGAAAATAAGGTGAACAGCTTTACAGGGATCAGTATCCCTTTTGAAATGATGCTGTGTCTCTTGTGTACCACAGAC